ACAGACAGAGACGAAAGCCAACTTAAAAAGTCGTTACGCACATTTTTATTGCTCTCGTTTTTGCTGCTTCTGCTCCGAGTTTCAATTACAGCTGCACAAATTGACATTGAATTCGAGCCGCCAGGCCTGAAATTGATGATGAAAGCAATCCCTGGTCAATGGCTCAATTCAATGGTCAGTCAAGTGTTGCAGCAGCAGCCAGAAGCGTTCGGGATTCATTTCTCTCTGTTCAGTTCAGCAAATTTGCCAAACCAAAAAAAATAAAGGGTTAGTAATGCTCTAAAAGGGCATCAACGACCCGGGGTTACCCTGCCATATATATATATATATATACAAGTTTTAAAGCGATTTACTCTATGGCAAGGTAAGCTAATGCAGGAGTAGTCTAAGAACTCAAGAATTGAAAGTCAGCAGCTGAGGCTAAGTTATTCTCACTATATATTATTGACTCATACACCTATTATATCTAAGTCGATATTTGAACACTCTCAAGGTATCTATACAGTCTTTTATACCCCTTACAGCATTCACTGCTGGTGGCATTATTCGCACAGCAATGCAATTTGAAATTCGCTTTCGCATTTCACATTTCGCTTTTTCCTGCAGTCGAAAGCCCAAAAATAAGCACAATAAAAGGTTCGCGCAAATGCCAATCGACAAAATCCATTTACAAAACAACAAAAAATACAAATAAAACAAAAAGAGCAGCGAAGCCAAAATGCAAACAAAAAGCTGCCGCTGCCGCTACAGTTGCGGCAGTGGGGCAAACGGCCCCAGACAGTGGGGCAGGCAGTGGAGCAGACGTTGCATAAAAGAGGTGACGCAGTCGCCGAGTGCATTGAGCCGCATGAAAGAGGCGCAACTGCAGAAATGAACGGAAATCGATTTCGGTTATTTCTGCACAAAGCAAAGCGCATTTCTTTCCCTTCCCTCTCTCTCTCACTCCCTCTCTCTCTATCCCTCGTTATGTGACATTCTGCATAACATGCTTTAATCCAAAAGCAGTTGACATTAAAATACCTTACCATCAACTGGGTAAACAATAAAGTACAGTAAGCAGCTGTTTAGTTAGTCAAAAGAACCTGATTCCAGTCCCCCTTTTATCAATTAGAGCTAAGTTACAAAGAAACTATTTAAAGCTAAAATGATTTATACTAAAAGCTAAAGAATCAAAGACTTTTAACATTAGTAATCTGCATATATGCCCTTACAGAGTATTCCCTTACAGGTAGAGTATTCCCTTATTGTTCAACTGTGTCTTTTGGCTTTGCCGCTGCTACGTCTACTACGTAATAAAGACAGACGCCAAGACTTGTGACTGCTAAAGGTTTTTATAATTCATAACACGACGACAGCGACAACAATCGAAGAAGCAGAAGAAGTTGGCGGCAGATCTTGAGTGGAGACGTTGGAGAAGGAGCTCTGCTTGTCACTCAATGGCCCACCAGCAGACAGAAACAGAGAGTGAGCGAGAGAGCGAAAGAAAAAGAGACAGACAGACAAGACAGACTGTCTGATGCGCCTTATTTGGCAGCCATTCGCTTGATTCGCAGCGATTATTTACTTGACCTACCACAATCGATTGCATGTTGAAGACGTTTCGATTGCCAAAGCTAGGGTATCAAATAATTATACATTGCTGTTGATCGAAAACTAAAGAATAACATAGAGTAACTAAGAGTTGAGAGTATAAACTAAATCGAGTCAGCAAATGAACTGAAAGAACCATATGAACTAGTGCCTAAAATGAACACACATGAATCAGAGGAGTTGCTTTAACATATTCCCAGTTCTAGATTTCTCTGAATTTAATCAAAAGGAAAGTTCTTAAAGTAGAGCTTCATCCCCTTAAAAGCTAATGCCCCAAAAGCCTAATTGCCCTATTCTAACTCCCACACATCATTCATCAATTTAGAATTAGTCAACCTAACCTTAATTATTGCTACCAAAAATCAAGTTCTTCGAATTCCTCAAATCAAAAACGTCGCCCACAATCCTAGCAAATGTAGCAAAACTAAACTATAAAATAAATATTTATAAAATATGCAATTAAAAACACTCTAGCAAAACAAAATCAAAAATAATCTATTAAATAAATAAATAATTTTCAAGTTTTTGTAAACGTTGACAAGGCAACAAAAACAACAACAACAACAACAACAACAGCAGCAGCAGCAATCACAGAGTTTGTAATGCTCGCTCAAAGAAAATACCGAAAAATGTATACAAAGCAGAAGTACTTGACTAGGGTATATCAGGGGAATGGAGTCTGCTAAGCCAGCTGGCTGTATTTACATATTACATTGTCACAAAGCCAATATACTCATTTGTTGATCACCATATGAACGGGCATTCAAAATAAACTCGACAACAACTTGATAAGCCAAACTCTTTGGGCTCAATGCGTGGGCAAAATATCGTTAAAGTTGACGTGACTCGGACTTGTCGGCATTTTATGAATGAAAATTTTGTGCTGTGTGTGTGAGTGTGTGTGAGCGCTGACCGGGGCAAGAGTTTGTGGCACACACGCAAGCCTGTCATTACGAGCATTTTAGCCAAGTTTTTTTGTTACGGCGTTGGCGTTGAGATTTCGGTTTGTGAGCTGCTCCCCACTCTGCCCCCGCCCCTCTTGCCTTTTCGGGCTGCTCAGGGCATTGGTTACGCGCCTTGGAGCCCATGAATGAGCCATTATTAGCAGACAGACGAATGCGTACTTAGAGGCCTAATCTCTTCGACTAAGCAGCGAGTGTGCAACAAATTGTGGCAAGGGTTTCGAATCGAAAGCGTGGCAGCAGCTATTAAAAGACTGGGAAATTAAGCATGTGTGTGTGGTAAGTGTGTGTGTGTGTGTGTGTGTGTTTGGCGAGTGCAAAAGCCAACACTTTCCAGTTTGCCTGCGAGCTGTAGGCAGCAGCAGCAGCAGCAGCAGCTGCTGTGAAATGTGCAGCGAGCAATCTTATGAGCGCTACACTGAGAGAAAAATAAACTACAGTAGAATATATGAAGAAAGTATGTACAGATTCTAGACTGTTTATATTCAGTTAAAAAACATTTATCTAGATTTATTTAATTACTTTATTATTCTGCAATCCTATAGAAATTTCTGGTAAAAAATTTTGTAATAATTTTCTCTCAGTGCATCTATTTAACTGGCAAACGCTGTGCCCACAACAGCAGCCAAAGAGGCGTTGCAACAACAACAACAACAAACACTCAGTGAATGTGCCAAAGGCAGCGGCAAAACTGGAAAAGTTCTCACACACACACACACACACACACACACACACCTACTTATATATATATAGTGTATAAACTCTTGATCTTTCCAATAGCCTACAAAGCAGCAACACATCCTACACGAGTTTAAAACGTTGCTCAGCTGCTTCTCACAGCCGCCATTCATGCAACTAAAAATTTGTTGCTGTTGCTGTTGCTGTTGCAGTTGTTTGATAATTTCTGTGCTTCCCGTTGCGAGCTTGTGAATCTTAAGGTGAGCTAGAGCAGCCAGCAGCCAGCAGCCAGCAGCCAACAGGCAGCAGCCTAGCTGTTTGGCTAGCCAAACGGGTTCAGTTGCTCAGTTCGGTTCGGCTGCCACGTCCTACATAGCGAAATTGTTTTTTGGGTTAGCAACTTTTTTTTTTTAACGCTGTGGCACAATATGCAAAGCGAGTAGCAGGCAACATTTTCTTTATGACTAAAGGCCATCGTGGAGAGTTCTATCGAGACAAAAATTGATTTTCTATATAGGCCGGCGGGAGCCCAAATAATTGAGTCAAGTCGTGCGCTAATAATTTGCACCTTTTTTTTGTGTTTTGTTTCTGATTTAGAAAGTTGCAAAAGAGTGATAAAGCAATGTAAAGAGAAGGGGGCAACGACTGCATAATACTCGCTCAGTATGCAACATATTAAGTATATTCCATTTGGAAGACTTTTGGGAATCAAAATAATGTTTAACGAGGAGCACCTACGAAGTAAAACTTGATGAAATAATATTTAGCCTAGGGGCCTAACCAATATACCCACTGGATTACTAACTGAACGAGCATATAACATTCGGAATGAAAGTGTGTTGCAGGCGGGATGAACGCCTTGGCTGAAGGCCTTTATGCTGCTACTAAATAATAACTTTTATTTTGGCAGAGTTGAAAGTTTTGCTGCGCAATGAATCGACACTTCAAATTGAACGCGCAACCAATTGAAAATCGTGTGGCATATGGCGGAGAATCTAGATAGATGGCTAGATGGATGCCACGATTCGTGTATTCATTCATCAAGTAATTTAATAAGTTGACAGCCGTGCAATTTGCATTTGGCGTTCACTTCAATTACAGAATAAGAAAAACAAAAACAACAAGTAAAACCAAACTGGCGATCGCATTGCCACATGCCACATGCGGGCGGAATACAAGTAGCAGGCACTGTGCTGAGACATGAAATACAAAACTACAAAATGTAACTGCAACGGCGACTGCAACTGCAACTGCAACTGCAGCTTGCAACACAAGCGAAACGCTTGAAGAGCTCTTAGCTCACACATACATACACACACATACTTATGCATATGTATGTAGACACATACAGAACGCTAACAAAGGCCAATCTCGAATGACAGTTGAATGTCTGTTGACATCAGCGCGTGCCGTCGTAGCCACAGAAAATCAAAATCAAATGGGGGGACTTTATACAAAAAGCTATAATATAATACCCTCTATACATTGTGATGACTGCAAGATGGGTATAAGAATGAGAGAAAGGAAAAGAGGGGAATTTAGATAGACAGAGGTAGAGAGACAGAGTCAAAAAGAAAGAGAGGAGAGCTAGAGAGAAGTATAGTAAAAGAGAGATATAGAGTAAGGGAGAGAGAGAGAGAGATCCGCGATCATAAAACCAAGTATAGAAACTGAATAATAAACAGAATACCTTCATCATCATCAAGCAGTTATACATTATAAAGCCAAGAATGCCTGAAAACTTATACAGATATGTATATCGATATATCGTTTGCATTCCTACTTCAGCTACAACACTTTCCTCGTTTATTATAAATCAAATATTACAGAAATTCCGAGGATTCTCACAGCCTCTCACAGTCGCCAATGATCTCCATGCAAATGCTCTCCGGGCGCTTAACGTTCTTCTCATCGTCGAAGGCTTCCAAGGTGACGACAATCTTATAGCGGCCGTGCAGAGTAGTGCCACGGACATTACTCAGCACCATATTTATGTCGAAGGGCGAATGAACTAGCTTCGTCTGCAACAAGTGGGGAGAGAGGAGGATCAGCTAGGGATCTAGGCTTATCCTGATGAGCACTTACTCCCTTATGATTGACACATTTGGATTTCATGGCATCCATGTCTTCAACATAGCGAGTCCAATACTTGAACCAGTACTGATCCTTGTCGTACATCAGAGCGCAAAAGTCCTGCGTGGCAATGCTGAAGACTGTGGGTTGCCAAATGCCTCGATCCAGTTGCATTAGACGTGCTGAAGCCTAATGACTCGATTCAATCATTTAACTTGTAACACTCGATGGCAATCAAATTTACCGTTATACGATCTGTTGGCTCTACATCCCAAACGGTTGTCACATTGCCCTCCACATGTATCTTATCGCCATTCAGTGTGAATGTCAATTCATCCAAATTGAACAGGCCACTCGCACCTTTTGCACCTGGCGGATTTTCCAGGCAGTCGGCGAAGACATCGGGATCATCAATTAGCATCTCGTAATCAACTGCCAGGACCTGGCAAACCATTCGAAGGGTCAGCAACAGCAGCGACGGCAGCAACATTTTAGACAACTTCTGTAACCCTGTTACAGATTCCCAGCTATTTATATAGCCAGCTAATTGGCCATGGCACATTGTAAAGGTAGGCTAATCAATCTTGTCATTTTACATTTTACATTTCACATTACAACTTGTTCTGAATTGTACATAATTTACGATACGATCGACGAGTTGCGAAACACGACAAACAAGTTATAATTCCGATATAGATGAGTCGTTACAGAGGTTATTCACAATTCAACGAGAGGTGGGGAGAGAGATCCTGAGATCCTGAGGTAAGTATGGGCAAAGGTTACTTTTGAAATACTAAGATTGTTTCCAATTAAAGCGAGAGCGAAAAATGATGTATGTATATTCCCATATGAAACAGATCTTAACAATCAACCCTCGTATACATTTAGTTCATATACTTTGACGGATATATCTTAAGCTTTTGGCTGACATTGAATGCTGATTTGTATACATTTGGCAAACGCAGACAAACCCAACACGCAGACAGACAAAGAGAGAGAGAGAGAGAGAGAGAGGGAGGGGAAGAGAGTGAGAGAGTGACAATATTTTATGCATATAATTGCCTGTGTAGACAACAACAATAACGATAACAACAACAATGACGCCAACAACATTGACAACAGCAACAAGCTGGTTGTTGTTGTTGTTGCTGATGCCACACCCACACAAAGCACACGTAATTGACACGAGTCTCGTCTCTCGACTTTATCTTGGATCTAATAGAACATTTTTCTGTTACTCTCGCAATTTCATAAAAACCGTATTATTAATTGCAGCTTGTTCTGTATACCCTGTAAATCTACTATGGAATTGTGGCAATTGGGTATACTAGCTCTTCAATACAATCATATATTTATAGAGGTAGTTAAATTATATTACTGAATGAGAGGCTTGGCTATGATTTATTATATAAGGATAATTATACGTATAAGAGAAGCTTCTCTTCCGATGCACACGAGTAGAGACTGCTTCAGGTGTTGTATAGCTTTTTTGCCAAATTGGAATGCAGAATCGAACAAAGAAGAAACCACAGAGTAACTCCAAGTTTGGCAATCGCAATTGTATAGGGAACAATGGGTATGTGTAGAGTGTGTTTGTCTATAGATTTAGTGCAATTCAATCACGCAACATCATTTCAATATGCACAGCATGTCAAAGTGCCAAGCTAAACGACAGACAGTCTCATCAAAGCAGCAGCAGCAACACATCTACGTCAGCAAGAGCAACAGCAACAGCAACAATTGCCCGCAGTTTGCTTTAAACAATAATGCAAAGTAATTAATATAACGACTTGTCTTCTTCGTTTTCATTGTTTTGCTGAGGCTGAAGAGGAAACACTTTTCGCATGCCTCCGATTACAATCTGCGGGGGATCATTGTCCACATCCGAGCAACAGAGAAAGAGACAGAGACAGAGGGAGATAGAGAGATTATGACTGGGTGAGAGCGAGAGAGGCTATTTCTTACACAGTTTTCACATACTTTTCCACCAAGTGCTAAACGAAACAAAAGATCTTTCACTTTGGGCGAGAGACAAAGATTGCAGTTGTAATAGAAACTGTTTAGGGTTATTAAACTTAATTTTGAGTTAAGAGCTAAGCCATTTGTTTACTTTAGTTTACACAGGTATGCCGGTATGGTCGACTATATATACAACAATTGATACTTACAAATAAACTCTTTTTGCAATGTGTGAGCTAGAAGATAAGCTATTGCAACACTATAAAGCTGTTTCTCAGAACTAAAATGTTTCTGATTCATTGAAATTATTTGTAACTAAGTTGCACTCACTTACTATTACTAATCAGCAATAAAACTAGGTAAAAGAAGAAGAGAAACCGACTGTTGTTGCTCTATAACCACTTCAAAATTGTAAGCAAACTTGAAAAGAGCAGTTAAATAACATTCTGTTGTTCTCTCTGCATTCTGCTGTGACAATAGTTTAAAATATTTTTCTATAATTCAACTAATATAAGCATATACTTTATATTCCTTCCAGTACATCAATTGTACATCGTTACCCTAGTCAATGCCACTCTGGCTCTATTCATCATCGCCTTCATAGCCTTGTGCCAGTTTGCTAGTTTCTCAGTTCGCCAGGCTTTGCTGCACATCCTGTGCACTCTCTTTGAGTGTGGGCCAACAAAAGCCAAGCGACAAGCGACATTTAATAAAAAGCAACAAACTAGAAAGCTAAAGAAAAAACTTCAATACAAATGCAAACTGCACTGTGCCTTTTCCACAAGTTGAGCAGCGGCCTTGAATGCGGCTTTTATCCATTTTCAAGCAATCAGAGAAGAAATAAAATAAAACGAGATGTTGTCATCGACTATTGCGTCAGCGCTGTGATTATAATTGTCGCCGCTGTTGTTGTTGCCGATGTTGCTGCTGCTGCCACTGTTCAGGTTGAGCGCTATAAATAACAGCTTATTAGCTATAGTCCCACTTAAATGTGCGTCTATTTCTAGACAACTCCCGCACAGGCAAAACAACAGAATGCTCAAATTTAACACGCACAAAAAAAAAAAAAAAAAATAAAATAAAAATAAAAATAAAAAAAATAATTAAATACAAAAAATTATTCGCCCAACGTGGGGCTCGAACCCACGACCCTGAGATTAAGAGTCTCATGCTCTACCGACTGAGCTAGCCGGGCCATGATAACGCAACGCGTCAAAATGCCAACAGGCAAAGCGCGAGAGCAATGCAAGAATGGAGGAATAAACAAATTTGCGAGGTTTGCGTGAGAAAATGTCGAACTGAAGCTGGCAGATATTAAAAAAAAAAAAAAGGAAACTTAACTTTAATGCAATGCAAAACGAGCAACGAGGGTGACTCAATAACATTAAAATAAATATTAATAATTGTAAAATTCATTTTATTTATGACTTATGAGCACAATCTACTACAATCTCCCTCATATACATACACATCAATATTCAACAATTTGTGTCATAAAAGCCTCCATTCAACAAGTGACACGCACCTACGACCTTGAGATCAAGACTCTTTGGCCCTAACTTAGCTGAAAAATGCATTGATTATTAACACAAAGCCTAAGCCAATGTGGAATGTTTTCCAAATGAGCTTGATTAGTAAACAAATGAATTGAGCGTGAAACCAATTTTCGGCATTTGCATAAAAATTATATCAATTTCTACACAAAAGTTGCTCAAATGTAAATACGAGTGTTGATATGAGCTACCTTAGCTATGCCTAGCCTTGCAGCGTAAAACCAAATCTATGTTTTATTATACCTCAAATCATGTTTTTACATTGTAATTGAATATGCATGCATGAAAACAATTCAAGCTACAAGAGAATACTATTAGAGACTGGCTCCTTGTGGGAGTGGGAGGAGTTCCTAATGGATAGGACGCATCATTACAGAGTCGATGGGCGATGGCGAAGCTATTTAAAAGCCGACGTGTCACATGCTGAAGCACCAGTGCAATATGGCAAGGCACACCGAGGACTCGCAGCAACAGCAGGACATAAGGCAGAAGGAGAAACAGGAGCAGGATGAGGCGATTGATTGGTGGATGGAAGTGTGCAAGGAATCGGCCATACATGGAATGCCATATCTCGCCCGCAAGGATCTCCACTTCCTCGAGCGCCTCTTCTGGCTGGTCATGATCATAGCATCCACCTACTATGCGGTCAACAGCTGCATCGCCCAATGGCAGCGATACAAGGATAATCCCATCATCTACGAATATGAGTATATGTTTGCCTTGCGCTCGTTTCCCTACGCAGGCGCCACAGTCTGTACGCACTATTATCAGCTGCCCTCCAGTATAACCCACAAATTGGTCATTGAGTAAGTATGCAGAGTCCAGGCAGACGACGGCGAGCACTAATATCGTATTTGACAGCATTTGGGAGAGCGACTCGTCTGAGATCAGTGAAACCGGGATTGACGACGAAAGCATGCAATATTACGTCAAATTTTTGGATGTCTTGCATCGCCTGCAATACGACAACTTGGAGACATTGATACCCTATGAAAATGATACGACTCTGCAGAACTTGCCCTATGCCCGGATTTCGAGGAAACTGTTGAAGAACACCTTACCCAAGCAGCGGGAGGTGCCCGAACTGGTGCCCAGCCTAACCGAAATGGGCCTCTGCCTGACGACGAGCCAGCTGGCCAGCTTTGGCTTTACCCTTAAGAAACACTTAGAGCAAGTATAATGTATACTAATAAGGAGATATATCCTTCATCTATATTATTCATTCATCAGACAAAATCTCACAGTGCCCGTGCGTATGTGCACCTACTTTGACAATTGTCGCACGCAAATCAAGCCAGCTGTGTCCGGAACTTGGGTAACTCTGGTAAGTAGCTTCCTCAGATCGTATAAATAATATCTCATATATGTATTGCATTTGTCCACTGACTCAGTTTATTCACGATGTCTACGAGTTTTTGATGCCAAACGATCGTCGCACGGTGAGCATCAACATGGACACCAAAAACTCTTACGAGATTACGCTGATCCTCAACTCCTTTTCGGCCGAGACGGATGTGCGGAATGTGCCCATCGCCTATCGCAAGTGCCGATATATCGACGAAAACAATCTCAAGTACTACGCAGTAGGTATTGTGCGTATGTTCATCCAATAAATTTCTGATCCTATTGCAATTTGCAGCCCTATCATCCCAGTTTGTGCCGCATGGAGTGTCGCATCGATCGAGCCCTGGATCTGTGCGACTGCAAACCCTTTTTCTATGTGGAAGGTCCCAAGGATCGCGTTTGCACTATAAAGCAAATGGTGTGCCTGGCGCGTAAGAGGTGGCTGGAGCAGCCCTGCGATTGCATGCCCCTCTGCAAGGAGGTCAGCTTTACTGTTACCGAGAAAAAGGAAATAGTAAGTTCACAACTTTCATATAGTCCCCTCTTATTCTTATTTCATTATTCCGAAGAATGGCGTTAGTGGCTTTGAGGGCACTATTGTCCTCACTCAACAACTCCCAAAGATGGGCATCAAGCGTCGCGTTGTGTTCAGCATGGATCAGCTGCTCATGTCGATTGGAGGTGCCATAGGCCTCTTTCTAGGTGCCAGCTTTATGACTATATACGGCTTGAGCTACCTACTCATGTATTATCTGGTTGTCAAATGCAAATATCGACCGAAGCTCAAGCGGGATCAGAATACGTCCATCAAAATTGCCTAGCGATGCGAATGTACAAATAAATTACAAATCTCTTAAAGCTTCCTTCCCGAACTATTACAGGCAACTACAGGCTGTCTTTTATACCTTTAGGGCTTGCGGGTTTTCTTCCATTTTCATAAAAGAGAAAACCTGTTTTCAATCAAAGCCTCCTCAGCATTAACTGCAGTGAGATATTGTTGAGTGGTTGCTTATGCATTGGCTAATTAATGAGCAAATGAATTAAGTGTGAATCAACTTTGAATATTTGCATATGAAATTATTTAATTAATTACAAGCATTTGAATGCAAACGATGCTCAGATGTAAAAACAAGTGTTAATATGACCTGAAAGCTGAACAAATTTTGATTTTCTTTGAAAATATATTTAAATATGAAACTGAATGAGGCTTAATACAAATAACATTTTAATATGGTTCACATTTCCCTCACAATCTAATTGAATATGCATGCAGCAAAGTCATTAACGCTACAACAGAATACCATTAAGGAGGCACCGCTTGTTGTGGGCGGAGTCCCTTGTTTGTACAGCGCATCATTTCTCTAGGACTCGACAGCAGAGCTAGTTAAAATGGAGTGCCCCATGCAGGGACACTCAGTGCATCATGGCAAGTCAGAGCGAAAACAATAACGACGAGGACCAAGAGGAGGAGCAGGAGCAGGAGCAGAAAGAGGCTGAAGCAATGGATTTCTGGAGGGAAGTGTGCAAGGAATCGGCCATACATGGCATGCCATATCTGGCCCGCAAGGATCTCCACTTTCTCGAGCGCATCTTCTGGCTGGCCATAATCATAGCATCCACCTACTATGCGGTTAACAGCTGCCTGTCGCAGTGGCTTCGCTATCAGAATAATCCCATTATCTACGAATACGAATATCTATTTGCGCTGCGCTCGTTTCCCATTCTGGGGATCACTCTCTGCACGCAGTACACCCAACTGCCTTCCCACTTAACGTATAAGCTGATTAACGAGTGAGTAAGATCTGAGTCAAGCCACGCGATGTGATCTGGTATCATAATTGACAGTATCTGGGAGAACGACTATGCTGAGCTCATTGAAGCGAGTATCCCCACCGAAAAGCTGAACTATTACACTAAATTTTTGCATGTCCTGAATCGATTGCAATACGACAACTTGGAAACGTTGATGCCCTATGAGAATGACACGACTATGCAGATTTTGCCTTTTGCTCGGATGTTAAGGAAACTGTTGATATACACAATACCGAAGCAGCCAGAAGTTCCCGAGTTTGTGTCCACCCTAACCGAAATGGGCCTCTGCCTGACAACGAGCCAGCTGGCGAGGTTTGGATTTCCCACAGAGAGACAAGCTAAGTAACTATGAATAGCCTACACTCTATCCATCTTTGATCCACCATACCGTCCATTGATTAGGCAAAACCTCATAGTGCCCAAGCGAATGTGCACCTACTTTGGCAGCTGTCGCACCCTTATTGAGGCACCTATGCCTGGCACTACGGTCACTCTGGTAAGTAGAGTCCTCAGCGTGTAAACATTGCTCTCATTAGGTGTATTTATTCACTTAGTTTGTTCACGATGTGAATGAGTTTCTGATGCCGCATGATCGTCGCACCGTATCCCTCGACATGGGTAACAAGAGCACCTACCACGTACAGTTCATGCTCAACTCCATATCCGCGGAGACCGAGGTGCGCAATGTGCCCATCGCCTATCGCAAGTGCCGATACATCGATGAGAACAATCTCAAGTACTATGCCGTAGGTGTCGTTCATATCTATTCCGCAGTTTCCTCTCCTGCTTTATAGGAGTATTCCTACTGCACATTACAGCCCTATCATCCCAGCCTTTGTCGCATGGAGTGTCGCATCAACCGAGCCCTGGCTCTCTGCAATTGCAAGCCCTTTTTCTATGTGGAGGGACCCAAGGATCGCATTTGCACTATAAAGCAAATGGTGTGCCTGGCGCGTAAGAGGTGGCTGGAGCAGCCCTGCGATTGCATGCCCCTCTGCAAGGAGATCAGCTTTACTGTCACCGAGAAAGTTTACTCAGTAAGTTTCCCCTCTTATGGTTCAGAGTCCCCACTTTCGTCTCACTTATCAACAGAATGGCGGTGGTGCAGAGAACTCACAGAACTTTGACCGCAAGTTCATCTTGAATCAAGAGCTCCCCAAGATGGGCATCAAGCGTCGCGTTGTCTTCAGCATGGATCAGCTGATCGTGTCATTCGGAGGTGCCATAGGCCTCTTTCTAGGCGCCAGCTTCATGACCATATATGGCTTGAGCTATCTACTGATGTACTATCTGGTTGTCAAATGCAAATATCGACCAAAGCTCAAGCGGAATCAGAATACCTCTATTAAAATTGCCTAGACACGGAGTTGGAGTTTGTTCAAACGCTTAAATTTGCACAATTTTCCTGTATTAAAGTAAAAGCACAATTTTCTCGTTTTACCGCTTGCTACGCACGCATTAACGGGCCTAATGCGCATATGCGAGTTAAAGACAATAATAAAATATCTGAAGACGCACTCGACAGCAATTGCCTTGCCCAAAAGGCCTGAGTGGGGCAGCAAGAAAGGGAAGTCGGAAAAGTGCCAACGGGGCACAGAAAGCGAATTTCACTTTTGTGACAATGACAACACATATAATAATATGATGGACTAGCAAATACGCATGATATCAAAGTGGAGACCCATATTGAAGCAACTAGCAAAACTAAGAAATCTCTGACTAATTTCAAAAGTTATTATGCCTAATTGAGTGGAGTATGAATGAAAATGAGTGAAGGAAGATTACGAATAGAATAATATGCAGTCCGATAGATCGATAGATTATTATCTTCATATCTCTCATATCTCTCATATAGTAAATGCAATCCAGGTTTCTCAAGCACATCTGTCTCTCATTTGGCCAGCTTGTCATATCCCCTACTTTTACATTGCTTGGCTACAGGGTATTATTATTATTATCTCTCTTATTGTAAATGCAAGCCAGGTTTCTCAAGCACATCTGTCTCTCATTTCGCCAGCTTGTCATATCCTATAGCTTTACCTTGCTTGGCTACAGGGTATTATTATTATAGCCACCATCCGTCTGACAATGCACACTTAGCGCGTCTCTCCTGTTACACATTTCAGCGAGTCCCATCCAAACGCGACAATCTGACAAACTGCCTAGCTGAGAGTTAGATTGAGAGACTGGCTGAATGACAGACTCACGAATTTGCAGTTAGCAGACGAGTCGCTTGGCAGTCAGCCGAGCGCGACGAGTGAAGAAGTTGAACAACCTCTAAAAACAAAAGCGCCAATTGCTTAAAAATTAACTAAGAAAAACCAACATAAAAATAAAAGCCAGATTAAGCAACAATTACAATGTGGCAGCAGCTCTGAAAAACTTTCGTACTGCACTCTAATTGAAATTAGCCGCATTTAATTGCAACCAGTTGAGAGTTCCGTTAGCAGAGCATTTAGAATTATATATTAAGTGTTATACATATATATTCACGTATTTGTATTTATTTAGTATTCGCATTTCCATCCACCTTGGCCCGCATCTTGGGAGCAGGGGCATACAATTTGTTTCGGTCTGCTGGCATTTAAGATCTAAGCTAAATATACGCAAACATCTATCTATCAGAGGAGATGGACAGAAAGAGAGAGGAAGCGCGAGAGCGAGACTTAACTATGGCAAACGCAGCCAAGCAATTAAAACACATACCAAAAAAATAAAATAAAAACAAATTTTAGTTGCACGGAAATTGGAATTGAAGCCAAGTCTGTTTAAGCAGCAACAGCTGACATTTGCATTTTGGCCAGGTCGAAAGACTAGACAACAATGAAAGGTAAAGGCCGGGAGCATAAGCTGACTTGCTCGACTTGCCAAATACCATGGAATATATGACAGATACTCAAGATTTACACATGAAAACTTCACTAGGCATATCTCTGTATACCCTATAATTGTTTGGTTATGACAATCGGCTGATTAGCTAGCCAGCCAATTAGCTATCGAGGCATAAACCTTATTCATTAGACAGAGCTACTCCCACGTGGCCAATACACCCCATAGCTACTAATTAGCCCGGGGTATATTGCCAGCCAGACGCTTTGGCCTAACTAAGCAAGCGCCGCAGTTGCGGCAGTAACTAAACCAAATGATGATGCTGCTGCACATGCTTCAAGGCATGTTTCTGCTCTAATTCGCACACAGGCCAAGCAACAGCAACAGCAACAGCAACTACAAGCCAACAGCTATAGCTGGAAAATAGCTAACAGCTATGAGGTACAACGAACTGCTGCACAATTGCGTGGCCACCAAAAAAAAGTAAGCATACGAAAGAAAAATAAATAAGTTTCATAAATACAAAATGCAGTCGCCCGCATCCACAATTCCTGACAGCTGTCTGCATCGGCGTTTGTATCTCTGTATCTCCATCTGCAGTTGTATCTGTATCTTTACCTGTAAAAATAGCTAAAAGCTGGCGCGGCACACTTTTATCTCTGGGCAGCAACCGGCGAAGGCGTCGCAATGCACAACACCTGTCGACAGCCCAGTCGGAAATGGTCTCAAGACATTTGTGGAAATCAAGCCGAAATTTTCGCAGCTTTCGAGCAGTTGAGTCGAAAATAGTCAACTATAAATACCCTGGAGCCCATAAACTATGCAGCATGATCTCTGTCGAGTTGCGTTGATCTCTCTGTCTAAAAAGCTTAGACTAGACATCTAGACTAAGGCACAGAACCTTTAGCTGCTATATCACATATATATTTATCTATGCTCTCTTGTTAATTGAAGTGCCATCAGGTTCAGTTGATATAAAAAACATTTATGTATAGAGCGAGTGGCGTCATGATTGCTATAAATTATTGATACACTGCAATTAAATAGATAAATATAATGAGTTTGGTGTGGCAATAGATTAAGCAACGCACCAATAGACGGACAATACACTGCTTTATTGATGCACAAATACCCTGTAATGGACGGTTTACCATCTTAATGAGAAAGAGAGTGCAAGTAACTAAAACCCATACCCTGTTATATGTATGCAACTGAAAGGAATGCTATAAAATACCCTGTAATGAACATTTATCCATATCAATCATGGCATTAAACTAAGAAATTGAAGAGTATCAAAGATAATTAACAAAGAAAATGGTATTAGATAAATATCCTTTTATTGCTTAAGCAATACAAAGGCATATGCTCCCTGGCCAGCATGATTTACAGGGCATCAGACACTAATTAAGAATGGAAGCAAACGTATCTATATTTTTTATTGAATTCGCGTGGATTAATTGAATCACTTACTTTTGGCATTTCAGCCAATAGACAGAAGGAGAGAGGCAGAGAGAGAGAGAGTGTGTGTGCGAAAGAGAAAATACAAAAATCAATTAGACGATTTTGTTTTCATTCTCTGACATATTTATGTACAGTCAAGCCTTGAGAATTGGCAAGCAACAGAGTTGTGTATCTTTTATCGCAACGGAATTGTTTATCTGAGACTTTTGTTTATTTCGCACACAGTTCACATTGCTCTGACCTTGGCTTTAATTATTTCTGCTGGGCTTTGGTTAACTACATTCTTTTTTTTTTTGTTCTGTATACCCTGGAAAAATGTTCTTGACACACACTCACAACTGACCTTTCGAGTTTCTGATTTATTTAGTTTATATGCTTTGTTATTCAATAAGTCTCGAGCGAGAAGCAACAGCTGTCGACAATTGGCTGACACGTCTCTAGTTCCATTTGACTACGTTTCATTTCACTGGAACTGGAAACTGGAACTTGCATTCTCGCTGGAAAGCCGAGTGATTCGTGAGGAAACACAACTAATGTTTCCTCTCCAACTTGTGTAACACGAGTTCCGGCTAATTATTAGACTTCCGCCTTATGCTAACTTTATAACAAGAGAATTATCGATAAATGTATCGATCACTTACCTTCATGTCATTGATGATCTGTTGAAACAAGCTGCCCAGCGCCGAGCTATCGCGTTCGAGACTAAGATCCATTTTCGTTTCGGGTTCCTCTTCTAACTAAATATATATATATCTATATTTATATATACATAAATGTATATGCGCGAATGCAAATCGATCGTGTTTTCGTTTTCGTTAGTCTCCGCTTGACTTTTCACTTTGTTTTCGTTTTGTTTTTCCCAATTTGCTTTGCTTCGTCACTGTTCAAAGAAAATTAGCTTCAGATTTTTACGTTTTATCGACATTTTATTCGGTTGAGTTTCAGCCAGAGTTTTGGCAGCACCTGCAAAATAGTGTTGAGAAATGAATCAGTAAGGGAATTGTTAGGATTCTATATATTAACAGTAGCTACAAAACAGTCTTAAGTTTATTTTTAGCCAAGTTTACAACAAATGGAATATGTTCTAAATATAAGTGTTGATTAACTGCTTAGCTAATAAATGTAGCAGCTGGTTACTATTGCTAGGTAGGAGTATACAAGTTATTACGCCTCATGTTTCTAAATTTTTGAGTAGTCTCACTTTTATCTAGTTTATAAATAACCAGCTGAAAATAATTTTCAATTGTTCTTCAGCATATTCCATACATTTTTTATTCAGAAAGCTTAACATAAGCCATAACCCATAATTTATATAGATAAAACTTGATTCGCTTACACATTAAACATGTTTTCATTTTCATATTTCCCAAAAATAGAGAAAGAAAGAAAACAATCCAAAATCCCAGCCTCCTTGTTATCAGAATCACTTACATCGAGAGGCAGTCTCCACACTTCCGAAATATATGTATATATAGACAGAGCTATGGATGTTGCATGTGTGTTGCCATATGTGGCATAAATTCATGTGCCACATGCAACAACATGCCCTCCCCCTGGTCTGCCCCAATCACCCAAGAAACACATAAATTTACGAAATTTGTCTCGAAGCGCTGTAATAATGCGCTCGTAAATAACATGTAATGAAAACTAGCGCATATTTCAAAACGAAATCATTATTATTATTATTATTATTACGATTATCATGTTTAATTATGCTTATTAATAAGCGTTTGCTTGCGCCTTATAGAGCTAGAGGCGGGGGAAGATAGTCAGCGGTCGAGAGTTGGGGCAGAGTGAGAAATTGTGTAGGCGCAACATTAAACAAGTAAAACTGCTCCAGCCGGGTGTGCCTGACTTGCAGATACCCTAGAGCACATGAATGATAGACAGAAAGATGCAGAGATTAATCTCTAGTTTCATTACAAAGATTGTGACTAATAACAGGATGGGGATAGAGAGACACATCGGATAGAGATTACTCAATACTTTACCAAAAGAAAAAAACCAATATGCCCTCTTTAGCAATTGCCGGCAGAGCATGAAAAATCTGGCATTTATTTTGGAATCGACACATGTATGGGAGAGAAAAGGGGCAATCGGAAAACGAAAGCCATGAACAATGTGACCCAAAAATGAAAAACTGATATCGGGGAGCATTTGATTTATATGTTTGGTGCGTGCACGAGACAAGTGCCACGAAGAGCTTTAATCAATTTGCAGGCTAATTGCGCTAATGCAATGCCTAATTGTTAATTGATATGTCAATGAGTGTGTGCATGTGTGTGTGTGTGTGTGTGTGTGTGTGGCAATGCCAAAGTCAGCAGACAGGAAGCAATT